ACGTGATGGGTGGTGTTGACAGCGGTCACAGAAGCAGGATTAACGCACAGCGCACAGCAAGTGTCGCGAGGTTGCTAAAACAGGCACCACCTCCTTGATGTTCCGGCGCTCCACCCGCGGTCAGAGTTCAGCACCAAGAACAGCAGCCACTCGGATCCCGGCGCCCTCTGGTGGCCGTCAGGAGAAAAAGCAGAACGTGGAGGCGGGGTTCAAGCCCTCCGCCCAGGCCTCCTTTGGGCAAAGGGTGGGGATGCCCACCCCCCAACCTTGGAAAGAGAGAGGAAGGAGGAAGAAGCAGGTGCACACGGTCTCTAAATGCTCCGACAGCTCGCGCTGGCCCGGACCCGGCGTGGGCCGGTGGGCACGGGCAGGTGTGACAATATCTGTGTGTCCTCAGAGTGCAGCTCCACAGCTCTGCAGGTGGCCACGACGTCCAGCTCGCTCCACCTCTCCCTGTCCCCTCTCGCCTGGTCTGCCACCGGAGGATTTGCAATAAAATCCAGCCCTACCCCTGTGCCCTTCGGGCTGCGTCCCTAGACCTGGGGCGTCCACTCAACCCTGTGCCCACAAAGCAGTGCTGGCTCCCAGCACCTGCCACTTGAGTCCCCGTGCTCCTGGCGCCTCAGTAACACCACAAGACGCGTGTACGAGGCACTTGGCCTCGGGAAGGTCAGTTGGCCCAGGGTCGGTGCGGCCAGTGAATGTCAGTTTGCTGGCAGAGACCTGGAAGGCCTAGGCTTAGGACAAGGCCGAGCTAGCAAGCAAGGAAGTCCCCACGAACTCCAGGCTACAGAAGAGGGGAACCCTGGGTGGAGGCTGGCTCTGCCCAGGACTCTTGGCCTGGGTACAGGGTATCTTTCCAACCCATGGTGACAGAAACCCGTGCTCTGCCCAAACACATAAACCAAGATCTGGATGCAAGCCTCAGATCTCACAGAAAGGCTCTCCAGATGGCCCACAGACCTCTACAGAAAGCCCACAACTGACAAACATTTCAGGGGCAGGTGTGTGGTGCACACCTGGAATCCCAACACTCAGAAGCTGAGGCAGGAGGATCGCTGTGAGGCCAAGGCCAGCCTGGGCTACAGTGAGACCTTGTCTCAAACAAGCATAAAAATAGCCCCAGGTAAGCACAGGAAAGCTACTCACCGTTTTTTAACCATGAGAGAAATGCAAATAAGAATCATAACGGGAACCACCCCAGCTCCGGAACAGCCAGAGGCTGATGCCCTGCAGCCTTGGGTGGCCTCCGTGACCCCATGGCCCTGGGCTACCTGGACCAGGGTCCAACCTCACAGCAGGTGCTCCCTAAGGAGCAGCTGCGGCCCTGCCCCAGGTGTGGCCACAGTGGGTAGTCTTTAGGCTCCAGGGACAACCCGGGAGGGCCAGGTTAGGTGGCACTACAGAGGAGCATTTAATCTGACAAATCCTGTGTTTCATGCACCCACTGGGAGGAAGGCTATTTTAAACCTGTCACCTTGTCACTGCAGTGCAAGATGCAGCTGATGTCACCGCAGGATGGGTAGACACCCGCAGCTCTGCCGCAGCCTGGGCTCCATGCACCTCGCTCCCCTTGAAGCATGACCTGGGGTGAGGCACACAGCTCCCTGAGCCTCTCTGCCCACCCCCCCAAGATGACACTCCTCGCCTCCTCCCTGTGCACGCAGCCTGCTCACTTACTTCTCCCCCTTCCTCCCCAGCCCATCCTCCGGCTGCGCCTCGCCTCAGAGACCGACCCCAGGCCGCACCGTTCCTCAGTGGAAACTGCTCCTGGCGTCCTCCCTGGACACACGCTTTCTTCTCTGGGCAGCATCTCTCAGAACTACCACTCCTGCCTCACTCAGGAGCTCCAGGACAGCCAGGCTTTCCCCAAGGACCTGGGGGTCACTTCTCTAGTTTCACACGCTGACCTCCCCATCTTGGAGGCTGAGGAGCCCAGTAGGTAAGAAGCAGCTCTCCAGAAAAGCACAAGACATCGTGTTCCAGGGTCCATGCGCACCCTGACCATAGCGGCACAACCCACAACAGCTCAAGCAGCCAAGGCCGATGGGGAAATGTCCACCTTCGATACAGTTCTAAAGGGCAACAGATGAGAGGACAAAGAAAATGTGCCGTGCATGCACCACGGAGCAGTGCTCTGCTGCAGACAAGGGTAAAATGGAGCTGTTGGGAGGAAAACAGATGCACCTTGAAACCATAATGCTAAGTGAAATAAATCACACATAAGATTAAATACCATACGACTGCCCAACTAATGCACAAGGTTGAGGCCAGGATGGCAGCAGGATGGCAGGGGAGGGGGACTAGAAGAAACCCCCAGGACAAAAGAGGGGGACAGCTGCATGGGTTGGAGGACACCCACGAGCACCTCCTCAGCATGAGAACACTATCTACTCCAAGGGTGAACACAACTCATTGCCCTGTGACCACGGTGACCCAGACTGGCACCCTTGGCCCTGGCCCAAGGTCTTTCATGAGGCTGTGACCCATGACACTGGGCTGCTGGGGCCAGGATAGGACACACCACGCTGGCAGGAGACCCCTCCACAGAAGCCCCAGGGTCCCCACTACTTTCTCCAGAGAAAGAGCCACCAGGGGAAGTCACAGCATCACCCAGGCAAGGAACCACACCATGGTGACAGACACAGTGTGGGCTGAGCCACACTGCCCATGGTCCTGCAGCACACTGCTACCCAGGAGGCACTGAAGCCCAGCATGGGGATGCCGCCACCTGTGCTGCTGGCCACCACCCTCTAGCTTCCTGGGGACTCACCTAGGCATGGTGCCCAGGGGCCAAGCCAAGTTCGCAGGACCTAAGGATTTGAGGAGAAATCCTGACACCTTCCCTTCCTGGAGGCTGTGCTTTTGGTCCACACCCTTCGCATCCTGCCTGAGGAGAGGCAGCTCCCTTAGAGGGATGCCACATCCATGCCAGCCACCTCCGCCCAGGTCACATTGGCTACTCGCATTGAGACACCGGCACACAGGGGGTGGCTCGGACCAAATGTAAGCAGGGACGAGGCCAACACCCCTCGGGGATGCTGGTACTCTCTAGCCTCACTGGGACAGTAAGTGGTAAGCATGTGCCCTCCAGAATTGAACATTAAAGTTACTTCAGAGCAAGTGAAGTCAGGGAGCTTGCCGGAGTTTCTGGGTTCCGCTGTGTGAAGAGCTAGTAGGATGGGCAAGGCTGTGGTCCGTGACACACTACCAGATCAATCCCCTGGCTTAGAAAGAAAGCTTATTTCTTGCCAGGCACACCTGCTGTAATCCCAGCATTCAGGAGGCTGAGGCAGCAGGATCCCTGCAAGTTTGAGGCCAGCCTGGGCTACATAGCAAGACTGTCTCAAGACAAATTTAAAAGAAGCAAAATTTATTCCTCTCTCACAACACAGTCGTTGAGTTCCACAGGACTCCATGGGGCCCTTGGGAGCCCCCTCCCAAGGCAGTGGACAAGGAAGTGAGGCCAAGGGGGGGGGGGGAAACCAACCCTGCCCACACCCTATTGGCCAGTCATGGTCACATGGTCACGGTGGCACAGAGGATGTTGGGAAGTGTAGTCCAGTCCTGAGCCTGGGCAACCGCAGACACAAGGGTGGGTCAGCCATGGCCACGTCTGCCCTGGCCGTGGGTGAGTGGGCAGGGTGACCCTCCGGGATTCAAGAACCACTGCTCTGCTCTCTGCAGGTGCCTTTCGAAGCCCTGGCACTCGGGCCTCTCCTGGGCAGCTGGACACGTGGCTGTGGGCACCGTGGCCCAAGGCTGTCCCCAGTACAGTGTCACATTTCCTGTCACTGACCCCTGGTGTCCAGGGTCGGGAGGCAGCGAGTGAGACGCCCGCCACATGCCACCTCTCGTACTCAGGTCCCCAACCCAGTTCTGCGAGGGTGTACGAGTCTTGTTTTCTTCTGCTAACTAGCATTTCATGAGTCCAGGGTGGGGGGCTCCCTCGTGGGCAGTCGGCGCCCAGCCGCTGCCACCTGAGTGCTTTCTCCGTCCCTTCCCCTCCCCTGTGCCCTGTCATCTAGACTCCGCCAAGCTGTGGGATCTCGACCTGTCCAGTCCCTGAAAGACGGTTTCAATCCTTTAAAACGAACGCGAGGATCCCGGGTGACCAGCCGCCCCCAGATGGGGGTACGCGGCGAGCGCGGTGTCTGTAAACTGGGCGCCGCAGTGGCGTGGAAGCGGACGCGCAGGCGGGCGCAGCGCGCTGCGGGACGAGGAGGCCAGCGCCGGGACACAGGAGGCGGGGCGCCGGCGGGGGAGGGCGCTGGAGGGCGCTGCCCGGGGCGGGGCCAAGTGCGGAAGTCCCCGTCGCGCATGGAGTCCCTGCGCTGGCTGTCGCTGCTCCTCGGGACCCTGCTGGTGCAGGGGTCCCTGGCCGCGGGCCCCATCCGAGCCTTCGTGGTACCGCACAGCCACATGGATGTGGGCTGGGTCTACACCGTGCAGGTGGGCGCCGGTTTAGGGGCTCTGGGCGGGGTTCCCTGCCTGTCCCGGAGCCGCAGGGGCAGTGCACAGGTTAGATGGGGTCCTGAATTCCGATGGGAGGAAGTGGAGGCCCCTTTGAGGTTGGCAGGAACACCCAGTTCTCATACTTGCGGCCAGGTGACAGGAGGGTCCCCACCTCTGCCTCTCCAGCCCAGGTTTTGGGGTGGGCCTGTGTTACCCTGTGATTCTGCCCAGGAGCTCAGCAGAAGGGCTCCTTGAGACTGCAGTTCCCATCAGGCATCCCTCCCAGCTCCCAGGATGCCTGCGTGGCCCCTAAGTGGTCGGCTTCGGCCTGCGTCCAGGTGACGCTGCTGGGACCCACAATTAGTAGCACTGGGGTGCAGCCTGGCCTTGCGGGGTCGAGGGCAGTGACCCCCACCTCAGTGTCAATGTTCTGTACTGGTCAAGCCTGTGCTCACACTGGTGTGGGGATCCTGCGCTCAGGGAACCCCTGAATCTGAAAAGCAGATCTCCCTGGCCTCCCCCGAGTCCCTACCCCTTCAGGGCCTCTGGTGACACTAGTCACTCTCTGACATCCCACATACCCTTTACCTGTTGGCTTCATGATCCCATGTTTTCCCAGGGCTCAGGCCTACCCACTGAGGAGGTGCTAATGTGTTTGTCCAGTGGTGACCGATGGATGGATGAAGGGAGGGCATTTCACCAGAAATGAGATGGCAAACCGCTCCAGGTGTGGTCGCCCACGCCTATAATCCCAGTGCTGGGGAGGCTGAAAACAGGAGGATCACTACAAGTTTGAGCTGTGTAGTGAGACCCTGTACCAAATACATAAATGGAAAAAATAAATAAATAAAAATTTTAAAAAAGAGATACTTAAGAAAATCTACAAGACCCTTCTGTAGTTAAGGATAGAATCACTTTATGAAGAACATCAATGATTATTATTTATTTATTTACTGTTTTCTGAGAACTCCCAGTGACCCTCCTGCTTCAGCCTCCCGAGTGCTGGGATGGCAGGCATGCATCACCACCCTCAGCTAGGTAGTGGCATTTCCAAGAGGGACAGAAGGGGACCTGGAGCCATGTGTTGGATTGGCCCTGGGTGCCCTGGCTGGCTGTGGGAAGTCCCCACCCCCACCTCTGGGTAGACTAAGGGAGCTGAGTCTGCTGCTCCTGGCTCTGGAAGGAGAGACCAAGGCCCAGCGCGGTCCAGGCCCTGCCTGCAGCCACCTAGGCCCAAGCTCACGCTGTCTGCTCCATCAGGACTGCTCTCCGCAGGCTGCAGGGGAGGAAGCCCTGCTCCTTGCAGCTTCACCTGGGGGTGGCCGAGGGCACAGGGGGCTGGCCCTGAGGGATACCTCACAGGTGGGCCACACCCCTCCTGCCCTCGGATGTCCCCACAGGGGCCCTGGGGACCCAGTTTTCAGACCCTTCTCCAAAGCTGCCCCTGGCCACAAAGATATTTTCACAAGCTCATTCTCAGAGTTGGGCAGCATGAGCAACCTGGTGTCATGTGGGCACGCACTAGGGCCGGGAAGGACATAAGTGCCACACAGGAGTACCCTGAACACAGCAGGGCACTCGATCTGGCAGGTGTCCTGCAGCACTGCTGTGACCTCATCCCCTCCCAGGACAGCATGCGGGCCTATGCGGCCAACGTCTACACATCCGTGGTGGCGGAGCTGATGCGTGGGGAGCGGCGGCGCTTCATCGCGGTGGAGCAAGAGTTCTTCCGGCTGTGGTGGGACGGGGTTGCCTCGGAGCAGCAGAAGCAGCAGGTAGGCGGTGCCAGGTGACACAGCTTGCCGGGACCCTGGGAAGCCCACACTGGAGACTCACGTGGGCCCGGCTGGTGCCAGGGTGGCACCCGTTGAAGCCTCCAAGCCAGCGCCCCAAGCTTGTGATTGACATAGGGCCAGCGCCATGGCCTCGAGGGCTGACTTGAGCCAGTCTGACTCTTCCTGGAAAGGTGGCCAGCGCCTGCAGGCCAGCCGCACATTCTAAGTGCCACTTCCCAATGCCGGGCACTGCTGGGTGGCCCCAGCCTTGCACCTTGTGCCCTGATTGGCACTGTCCACCCAGCCCCTGGCACAGGACCTGTGACCCTTGGCAAGGACACAGGCAGACAGCTCAGCATCATGGTTCCTCACAGAGTGCAATCTCGGGCACCAGGGCTGCAGCTGTGAGCTGGGGGGCTCTGCTTCTGTAAACTGGGGGGCTCCCGTTCACAGAGACATGTTGCAAGGCATGGTAAACACCTGCACTCCAGAAAGCTCCGGAACCCAGTTTCCTCCCTGGTGGGCAGCGTCTTTCTGACTGAAATTCAGGGAGGTTGATCCACCTCCTCGAGGCGCCAAAGCTAAGGTGGCAGCAGGATGTGCCCACCAGAGGGAGGCTCCTCAACTGCAGCCAGTGAACCAGACCTGATTGCGATGTCCCCTGCCAAGCCATGGGGACTGTCACACAACTTACAGAGATAGTCCAGGGTCACAGAGGCCTGGGATGACAGGTGGGCTGGGAAATTCTAGCAGAAGGGTGCAGAATAGAAAAGATGGGTCTTGCACCAGGGCCAGGAGATCGGTGGAACAGCTGGGGAAGTGTGGGCCGAGGCTGTGGATCGGGCAGGAAGGTCGCGCCAAGGTCAGTTCCCTGATCTTGATCCTTACGCTGTGGCCCTGATTGTCCCTGATCTCTGCAACACACAGGACACATTTGTGGTCAAAGACTTCAGTGCTGCTGAAAGACTGTAGCTTAGGAAAGGCCTCCCAGGCGCACAGAGGTGGGATCTGAGGGCAGAAAGCTCAGCTCACAGTGTGCGAGTCCTGGGCGGGGACAGATGGCAGCTCGGAGCTGTCTGTATTATTCCTGAAACTCTTGCTAAGTGTGAAGTCATTTCAGAATGAACAGTGCAGTTATCTCCAAAGCGGCAGTGAGCCAGGTGTTTTCGGGGCCCTGGGTACTGCCCTCACAGGTTGCCCCAGCCCAGCTGGCCCACGTAACCTGGCCATCTTCTCTCTGCCGCCCACGCCAAGGTCCGCGAGCTCCTGGCCAAGGGACGCCTGGAGTTTGTCCTCGGAGGCCAGGTCATGCATGATGAGGCTGTGACCCACCTGGATGACCAGATCCTACAGCTCACAGGTTTGCCCCCTGCCCTGCACCCGGGGATCTGTGGTAGGCTTGGAAGGGCCCCAGCCCTGGAGTTCTGGGCTCTGTCTGCTTTAAGGGGCCCTGGCCAGTGGGTACAGGGACTCCCTAGGGCCGAGCTTGTGCCTGGCTGAGTTAGTGCAAGGTTAGGAGTCCCATCCCTGTGGCCCTCCCTGGGCCTCAGTTTCCTCATATCTACCTCAGTAGTTGTGAGGATTCAATAGACACACTTCAAATAAAGAAACTTTCAGTAGAATGTGTTATTACCTCCTAAGTGCTCAGTAAATGTCAGCTGGCTTCATGTCGCCACCTCGCCAAGTTGCTGCGGCAAGTGAGGAGGAGGTCTGGTGACTCTCACTCCCATTCCACAGCTGTGGAAACTGAGGCCCAAAGAAACAGAGCAATTCTCAAGCGCCGATAGGCAGGACTCGAATCCAGCCCCTCTCTCCTCCCGCTGTCCTGGGGTCTGCCACCCCTCTGCCTGACGGATGTGGGCTTCGGGCCCCAGGCTCTCCTGCAGATGGAAGGTGGTGTAGACATGGCTCCTATCCGTGCATGGCTTTTGCAGACAGTGCTGTGCCTGGCCTCTGTGCCCGGCTGGGTCTGGGGCCCACCTGACAGAGGCAGGAAGTGGCAGCAGGGGAGTCGCCCAAGCCGGCCTGCCCCTGCTGCAGCACTTCACTCCACGCCCATGTGGCCCTCGTTCAGGGCTTTCCTCTGCGCCGCTGCACCGCCAAGGATGCCACCCTAGGGAGCCTGCTCTGGTCCCCGCGGTTCCCACCGCACCCCACAATACAAGTATCCCCGCCTGTGGGTTCCCAGGGGGACGCATTGCGTGGCATTCATCCAGAGACCCAGCAAATGTGGGCAGCATTGCTTTGGAGCAGGAGGACCCTGGAGCGCCCCTAGTGTGAATAAATTCCTTGAGTCCAAAAGCATCCAAGGTTACAAGGCCCTCAGGGGACAGACACTTGGATCCCTTTCACCCTGCTCTAGGGGCACGGCCAACGGTCCTCAGAGCAGCCCTGTTGATGGGGGTGACTTATACATGCCCAGTGTAAAGGAACAAAGCTTTTTTGTTTCTGTATTTTGAGACATTGTCTTCCCATGTAGGCCTCTAACTCCCAGCGATCTTCTGTCTCAGCGTCCCTAATGCTGGGATTATAAACGTGCACCACCGTATCCCGCTCTGTAGAGGGCACATTTGTGGCTCACGTGATGCCCAAACCTGCAGGAGGGACAGTACCAGCCACGCGTGGGTTCTGAGTCTGGTGGGCGTTGGCCTAGCCTGTGGGCTCACTGGGCCCCTCGGCCCCCCTGCGGCCAGCTCGGCCGGCTGTCTGCTGTCTCCTTGAGCCAGGCTTAGAGCCCAGCTTGGCTTGGCCCCTGCGGCTCTTGGGGCGCCCAGGATGCTGCGCCGTGCTGAGCAAGCCCCACACCTGGGAGTGCGGCCGCGCCCTGGGGAGTCGTACCCTGGCGACTCCGCGGTTAGAAGCGGGCAGTGGACAGCGGGGTGCGGGCAGGAGCTGCGGTTCCCCGCCCCGCGGGCAGCCTCCCAGGCGGCCCCTGGCCTGGCCCCGCCCCGTCCGGAGCTGGCCTGAGGCTGGGCGCCTGCAGCCGGCGCGAAGCGGGAGCGGGCAGGCTGGAGCGCAGGGCACACCCGGCCTGCCCCAGCGCCACTGCCGCCCCGTGGTGAACCCAAGTCGGCCGCCTCCCTTCCTGCCAGGGCCCCTCGGCCCTCCCAGCAGTCTCGCAGGGCGCAGAGCTCGAGGCTTCAGCAGACGGGGCAGGGTCCCGCCGCTCGCGCCCCAGCGCCCCGCCAGCGCCCCGGGCGAGGGCCTCCGCACCCCGCGACGGTTCTGCTGCTTTAGCGCACACCAGAGGCCGCAGCTCCCGCGCGGGCGGGTCCATTCCTCTCCCTTCACTCAGGCCGGCTGACTGGAGGGAATGTTGGAGACAGGGCATCTTTCATGAGAACGGAACCCAGTCTCTTCCGCTCCTCTTCCTACTGACTAGAATTTAGGCCCCAGCCCCCCATAACTTCTACTCAAACTCCACGGAACAAGATTGAGTTACGCGATCGCTGCTGGCGGCACGGCAAGCTGGGAAGTGTAGTCTGTCAGTTCTGGGCATATCCTATTGGCCAGGAGTTAGTCACATGGCTTCATTTGCTGCAGAGGAGGCTGGGAGTTGTAGTCCATTGCTCACCACCTAGTAGACTGCAGTTGTGACCGATTGTGAGCTTCGTGGAGACTGGGGAATGTGGTCCTCAGCTGGGAGGCCATGTGCCCTGACCGTGTGATTACCCCTGAGAGATGGGAGATGCCGTTTCATTCTTTCTTTACCTAAGAAAACCCAGTCCAGCTTCAGGAAGCAGATATAATTGAGCAAAGAATTCTGCCTACTTGCTTTTAAACGAGGATTTGTAACTAAGAAGGCATTACAGTTCTGTTACTGAAAGGAGCAAAAGGCGAGTGTGCACTGGGGATGCTTAGCAGTTCGGTAGTCACCTCGTCCTGTGGGCCCCACGCTGTGTGCAGCTGGAAGGCCAGAGAACCAGAGGAACCGTGCTTGGAGTGCTGAGCACATTTACCGTTTACCTAATAAGATGGGAATGGTTTGGAGGGTGGTTGGGGGACTGGCTAGACGGCCTCTTCCTGTCTGTGAGTCTCATACCCTTACCGCACGGTCACAAGGTGGCTGCCACAGCTCCAGGCATCACTGCTATGCATCTGCACTCCGCTCAGTACAGAGGGCTGGAGAAGCTTTCTTCCTGACTTTCTTTTTACTTAAGGTGGGAAACTTTTCCCTGAAGCACAGCAGGCTTAATCCACATGTTATTGGCCATATCTGCAGTCCACGCAGTTAAAAGATTAAACTTAGACACATGAAATTGTAGAGTGTATTTGTGCCGAAGTGCCTCACCGATCAGGCAGTGGCGTCGCAGCCTGTGGACTCCATGAAAGGCAGTGGGAGTTGAGCTCGCCTCTCTGCCCTGCGTTCTCGGGTGCAGGTTGCAGCTGCGCCTCTCTGGGGTTAGGAAGACGGCACTAGGATGGGCTCAGGGACCTCTAGGCAGTGCCTTACACAGGCGCTGCACAAGGCAGTACCTATCTCCCTGAAGCCCTGCGCCCAGTGCCTGGCTCATGCGGGGCGCCTGCGGGACGAGGGTGGGGTGGCTATGTGGGCAGGCTGCTTTGAGCTCGCGACTGCGGCTGCGTGCCTTTGCCCCTGGACTCAGGACTTCCAACAGCCAGCTCTTGGACGGTGGGGTCTGTGGGTGCGCGCCAGGAGGGGATTGCCCCATACCTGGCTGGCTGCCAACCTTTTTTTTTTTTTTTTTTTTAACAGGATCTTGCTCTGTAGATCAGGCATCCTGGCTTGGGGGGGCAAGAAGTGGCCACCCAGGTCTGGTGGGGCTCAGAGACAGCTTCCCAGCTTGCGCACCAGGGCTGTGGCTCCATCTGGCCCCCATCCAGAGCCCTCCACCCTTGCCCTGTGGCTGAGACAGCTGGCATCCCCAGAGGAGGGGCCCGTGAGAGGTGAAAGTGAGGTGGTGGCTGTTCTCTGGGATGCAGGCCCAAGCCCCAGCGACCATCAGGGCCACACTGTTGGGGGTCATAGACCCCATGCTCGGTTTCCACAGCCCAGACAGACCCCGGGACAGTGCCCAGGACCCATGGAAGATTGTCTGCTAGAGCTCTTCACCACAGCTAAGAGTTCAAATTGAGGGCATGGTGGTGCATGCCTGTAATCCTCAGGAGGCTGAGGCAGGAGGGTCACTGAAAGTTTGAGGCCTGCCTGGGCTACATAGGAAGTTCAACGCCAGCCTGAACTACATAGCAAGATCCTGTTTAAAAAAAACAAAACAAAACAAAAAACGGTTGGCAGCCAAGAGTAGAGGTGCACACTTGTGACCCCAGCACTTGGCAGGCAGAGGCCGGAGGATCCTTGTGAGTACGAGACCAGCTTGAGCTACAAAGTGAACTCAAGGCCAACCTGAACTGCATAGCACAATCCTGTCTCGGGCTGGAGAGATGGCTCAGTGGAATAAGCGCTTCCCTGGCAAGCACAAGGGCCTGAGTTCAATCCCTAGTTCCACAAAAAAAAAAGACCAAAAAAAGTTGACCCCTCACAGCTGCAACCTGCTCGGCCACCCTGCCCGGCCTGGCAGCAGGCACTCCACCTGCTGGGGTGGCCACGGTGTGTGGGTGAGGGAGGCGGGCCTGCCTTCTGGGCACCAGCGGCCCTTCTGTCCTCCCACAGAAGGACACGGGTTCCTGTACGAAACCCTCGGGGTCCGGCCGCGCTTCTCCTGGCACGTGGACCCATTTGGCGCCTCGGCCACGACACCCACCCTGTTTGCCCTGGCAGGATTCCATGCCCACCTCATCTCCCGCATCGACTACGACCTCAAGGATGCCATGCAGGATGCCCAGGTGTGCGTTCCCTTCCTCTCCAAGGGCCCGAGCAGGTCACACCGTGGTGACACAGGACAGCTGGGCTCCTGCAGCCTAGCTGGAGCCCCCTTGTCTCCGTGAACGCCAAGCAGACCCAAAAGTGGGATTTATTTGCAGGGAGGGCTGCAGCAGGGTCCACACCTGGGATAACAGCCGCTGACTGGCCCATAGCTCTGGGGCCATGTGGACAGGGCCTGCCCCTTCCTGAGGCGTCAGCGACGTGTCTGCTGTGGCCTTGCCGCAGCTTGTAGGTGACCGCTCTCTCCAAGTCTCTGCTCTGTGAGCACCTGTGGCCAGCTCCCTGTCATGCGGACTCCAGCCCCATTGCAGGTCTTAGGGGCCTCCTACTGACGCAGTTCTTTGGAAAGGCCCTGCTTGCAAAGGCAGTCACAGCCTCAGGGCCCAGATGTCTTTTCAGAGGGCATTGTTCCAACTGTAGACACAGGCAGAGTTAAAATTCAACCCATTTCACAGGTAGGTAGACTGAAGCCCAAAGCATAAAATGTTCTGCCCAGGGCCCTCATTGAGCAGCAGTAAAGCTGGCTGGGGAGGGTCTGGGAAGCGGCTTGGAGCGCTGCTGCGAGTGCACATCCCGCATGTCTCACCTGCAGATGGTGCTGTGGAAGCTAGGTGTGGCTTCATTTTTCATGCCAAAACCCAGTCACAAAGGGATCAGTGACCCAGGACATAACAGTAACCCCAAGCGTTTTTTTTTGTTTTTGTTTTTGTTTTTGATATTTTGAGACAGGGTCTCACTATGCAGTTCAGGCTTTGTAGCTCCCAGGCTGGTCTCGAACTCACAACGGTCCTCCTGCGTCAGCATCCTGAGTGCTGGGATTACAGGTGGGCGCCACCACGCTCAGCTCCTAAACACTTTCTAACCATCATGACTATTCAAAACTAGGTGGGAGCCGGGCATGGTGGCACACCCCGTAATCCCTGTGTTCTGGAGGCTGAAGCAGGAGGATCGTTGTGAGTTTGAGATCAGCCTAGGCTACAAAGTGAGCTCAAGGCCAGCCTGAGCTGCATAGCAAGCCCCTGTCTCAAAAGAAAAAAAAGGTGTGGAGGGGGGGGGGGCGGGGAGATGGCTCAGTGGAATAAGCGCTTCCCTGGCAAGCGCAAGGGCCTGAGTTCAATCCCTGGTTCCACAAAAAAAAAAAAAAAAAAAAGCAACAAATTTAGTGACACGTAATGAGCTCTCTATACCAAGGAGTATTCAAGCACAATGAGCCTCTGCTAGAGGCTCTGGCAGAGAATCTTCGCTGAGGCTCGGGTGGGGTGAACACAAGGCCCCTAGGAACCAAAGGCTGGTGTGGGGGGTGGGGCTGAGGGAGGAGGCAGCAGGGAAGACTTGGCCTTGAACCCTGGAGAGAGCCCAGGGGAGGATGGGCAGGCGGGGACAGGGAGGCGCGGCAGGACTGGAGGGGAAGCCAGGGCCCCACGTGGCTCCACACTGTCCCCTCTGGCCTGCAGGGCCTGCAGTTCGTGTGGCGAGGGTCCCCGTCCCTGTCCGCGCAGCAGGAGATCTTCACACACGTCATGGACCAGTTCAGCTACTGCACGCCCGCCCACCTGCCCTTCTCCAACAGGTGCGCATGCGCGGCCGGCCCTGGCCTGGACCTGTCCAGCCCGTGTGGAGACTAGGGCCCAGGGCCCATCCGTGTCCAGCGCCAGGCCCCGGCTGGTGACTCTAGCCTGCTTGCCCTGCGTCCCAATGGAGGGTTATTTATTTCTGTTTTTATTTTGTTTTGAGGCAGGGTCTCACTGTGTAGCCTGAACTGGTTTTGAACTATGATCCTCCTGTCTCGGCCTCCTGAGTGCTGGGATTACAGAGGTGTACCACCCCAAGGCCTGACATAGGCTTATTTATTTATTTATTTGTAATCATTTATTTATTTATTTATTTATTTATTTATTTATTTGGTACAGGGACTCGCTACACAGCTCAGATGTGTAGAGATCCTCCTGTGTCAGCCTCTCCAACACTGGGATTACAGGCACACACCACCATCCTGGTTTGGGTGGCCTGCTAGGCCTGGGGCTGGCATGGCATGTGGTACCGGGGATTGAGCCCAGGTCCTTGTGCTTGCCAGGCAGGCGCGCAGACTACCAAGCTATATCCCGCCTCCGTAGGGTTATTTAAAGAAGGAGAATTTATCCCCAAGAGCATTTGGTTCTGGCTGTTGTCCCAAAGCCTCACTTCTAGGCAACACTAGGCTGTGGTCTCCAGGGTCCCTTGGCCCTGGGTTCAAATCCAGCTCAGAGGAGAAGGAAGGGGGGACCCTAGGCGGGGACTCACGGCCACCCCTGCTACTGCCTGGGCCCACTCTGTGCTGGGTACTCTCTCTGGCTCCTTTCTGTGAATTATTTCCTTCAGTCCCGGTATTGAGCTGCCCGTTTCTGCAGGAGACTCAGGGTTGGCTGTGGCTGTGTAGGAAGAGGCCCAGAACTGTGGGCTTCAGGCCAGGATCCCTGCCCCAAGGCTGATCGTCTGGGTCCAGGGCACCCCGAGCCACGCTGAGCCTGCTGCCAAGCGGGGAGCTGTTAGTACAGAGCAGAGCACAGAGCGTTCGCCTGCTCCCCTGCCCTCGCCTCCACAGGTCCGGCTTTTACTGGAATGGTGTGGCTGTCTTCCCAGAGCCTCCCCCAGATGGAGTGTACCCTAACATGAGCGAGCCCGTCACCCCGGCCAACATCGAGCTCTATGCCCAGGCCCTGGTGGCAAATGTGAAGCAGCGGGCCGCATGGTTCCGGACGCCCCATGTGCTCTGGCCCTGGGTAAGCAAGCCAGTGCCTGCCTGCCAGCCTGGCCTCCCAGCAGCCTCGTGCTGCCTGACTGTCCCCTACATGCCCACTTCCTTGTCTGTAAAATGGGGACAGTGACACACCCACCACCTAGGCTTGAGGGGTTCCAGAGCATGGGCAGTGCCAGGCGCCACACCCGCTTACCTCACCCCCAGGCTCGCCGGAGCACGCGGTACATAGGGGCACTGTCCTCTGGGAGGTCCATCAGTCAGATCCGCACCCCTGGCCGGAGGAGGAGACCTGCTAAGGTCCATTTGCGTTCGAGGGCGTGAAGCTCAGAGAAGTCAGGCCGCTGTCCCAAGGCCACATGGCTGCTTAGCTGTGGCTGGGAAGGGGTGGGTTTGTGTTAGGGCCATGTGGCCCTGCAGCCTGTCCTGCCAGGAAGAGACTCAGGGTCAGGAAGAGTGATCTGAGGCTCTGATCATCATTATGTCACCAGGCATGGTGGCGCATGCCGTCATCCCCAAACTCAGGAGGCTGAGGCAGAGGGATCCCTGCAAGTTCAAGGCCACCTGGACTGCAGAGCGAGACCCTGACCTCAAAAAACTTTCTTCCTCCTCCTCCTCCTCCTCCTCCTCCTCCTCCTCCTCTTGTTTTTGTCGTTTTGAGACAGGGTCTTGCTCTGCAATTCAGGCTGCCCTTGAGCTCACTTTATAATCCAGGCTGGTCTCAAGCTCACAGTGATCCTCCTGCCTCAGTCTCCCAAGTGCTGGCATTACAGAAAACACCAAATCCCCTATTATAACTTAGCAGATGGACTCACAGTGGCAGTGATCCTGAAGGGCCTTGAGAGACCTGGGGGAGCCCTCACTGGCACTGTGGAGGCCTAGGGGGCTGGGTGCGGACAGCCCCAACCATCCTGGCCAGCTGGGGACTCTGGCCTGGCCCCTGTGCCCCCTGCAGGGATGTGACAAGCAGTTCTTCAACGCCTCGGTGCAGTTTGCCAACATGGACCCACTGCTGGACTACATCAACAGCCACACGGCCGAGCTCGGTGTGACGGTGGAGTACGCTACGCTGGGCGAATACTTCCACGCCCTGCATGCACTCAATGTCACCTGGGACATCCGAGACCACCACGACTTCCTGCCCTATGCCTCAGGTACAGCCTGGGGGAGGGGTGCTGCTGCCCCCCCCCAGCCCTCCCACCACCCAGACTTTCCTGCTTGTCATTACTGGGGTCCTCAGGGCTGGCACCGGACGCCGGGCTTGCTGCCTACAGCCCCCTCCCAGCCGTGAGTCCTGGAGCCCAGGCCCTACAGGGGGGGCCTTCCTGGTGCTTTGTCATTTGGGTTGTCATGAACACTGAAAAGGACAAGAAAGCTTAGGATGCGGCGTTTGTGAGCCCTGGCCCCATGCCAGGCCTGGCCCCCCACTCCACGCTCGGGAAGCTGCCTCCAGGCCTGCGGGCTTCCGCGGCAGCTGGCCCACCGCCGCCACCTGTGCCTTTAGCCCTGGTGGCTCTGCTTCTCTGCCCTCTGCACCGTGTCAGCCTTGACCCCAAGGAGCCACCGCGACCTCTCGGGCAGGCAGGATGGCAGCCAGCAGTGAGATCTGTATTTCAGGCTGGGTGCAGCCTGCTCAAGACTGAGAAGGCCACTGGCCACGAACAAAGAAAGAGCCGGCCTCATGGCCTAGGCACGGGAGGGGCATCTCCCCAGGAACTGTGAAGCTTCTCAAGAGTCATGCGTCGGTCTGGAGCCTCTTGGTGGGGGCAGGGTAGTGCAGGACGACGGTGGCATCTGCTGATTTACAACTGTCATTCTGTAGATTTACAGGGCTTCCCTGAAGCCTGAGAACGGGGGCCCTAACTGTGAGGCCCTAACACACCCCCACCCCCGCCCTCCCCATCGGCCTGCCTGGGGCTGTCAGGGCTGTGTGGAACTGTCTAAGATCCTCATCGGAAAAATACATCACAGTCTCAGAGGGCCCTGCATCCTGCCTGCCTGGGATGCCAAATGGGGTGGGTGCGTAGTGTGCCGGCTGGGTTGCCTAGAGCCAGGACAGCTCAGGGATCCAGGTACGGAGCCGCCTGCCTCCTGCTAGGGAGGCTACCTCCAGGCCCATGCTCGCCTGCGGAGGGCCACTCGGAAGGCAGGCAGGGAAGGGGGTGTTCCGCTGTTGCTGTCCCCATCAGAAGAGGGGCGCTGGGGCTGGGGTTCACCACCTCATGGCCAGGGCCGCTGCGACAAGAAAGCCTGGCCAGGACAGCGACTTCCAGCACGCTGGGCTGGGTCAGGTTGTCCCAGTGCTGGTTGGCACTGGGTCAGGGAGGGCTTTGCAGTGGCCTCCTTCCATTTCCTTCCCTGCGGCCAGGGCTCACCGCAGGGCTTTGGCCTGCTGGACTGTGCGGCTCTCAGGGACTGCTAACTGTGGGCAGGGTGGGTGCGTGGATGTGGGTATAGTTACTATCCAGTGAGAGGAGATGTGTAGTTGTGGTTATTTGGTCTAGAAAGGATGTATAGCGTGGACGCAGTTATGGTCAGAGTGGCAGTGATTTGCATGTGGGTGTGGTTCCGTCCACTGGTAGGGCCTGCTGTGTGGGCGTGGTTACAGTGGGTCAGGGCTGCTGGTGGGCGTCCAGTAGGCAGGGTTGTGTGGGAGTGGCTGCTGAGGCTGGAGGAGGTACATCCTGCAGGGCACAGTGTGGCAGTGGAGGTAGGCGTGGCTGGTGCTGCCTTTATTTTTTTTTTAATTTTTTAATTTTAATTTTTATTTTTGGTGGAACTAAGGATTGAACTCAGGCTCTTACACTTGCCAGGGAAGCGCTTATTCCACTGAGCCATCTCCCCGGCCCCTATTTTTTGTATTTTTTTGTGGTACCAGGGATTGAACTCAGGACCCCGCGCTTACTCTACTGAGCCATCTCCCTGGCCCCTGGTGCTGCCTTTAGACCTTGGGCCTTGGGAGTTGCCTGTCTTGGAATTCCTGCCCCACCACTCACTCAGTAGGCCCAGGGAGCTGTGTGGCACCCTATCAGACCCCACAACCTGTGGCCACCTTTTAGGGCCTAGCCAAGGTCCTGTGGGCGCAAAACAGGCGGTAGAGCACAGGCCAGCCCCAGGAAGGGCGGTGGCACCTGGAGTGCATGGAGGTGCTCAGCCCCGCTGCACCCTGGCCGGTCCTCCTCGTGCCTCCGCTCACCACCAGTCCCATCCACTCCCTGATGTCCCTGCTGTGCTGCAAGCCTGTGCGTGGGCTGCCCGGCCCAGAGTCCCCTGGGCAGGAGTCTGACTCCCCATCTTGTCTCCCAGAACAGCTGCAGGCCTGGACGGGCTTCTACGCGTCCCGCAGCACCCTCAAGGGGCTGGCACGACAAGCCAGCGCCTTGCTGTATGCTGGGGAGTCCATGTTCACACGCTACATGTGGCCGGCACCCCTTGGGACTCTGGACCCCGCCTGGGCTCTGCAGCAACTGCAGCAGCTCCGCTGGGCTGTCTCTGAGGTGAGGTCACACTTCTGGGCTGCAGTGGCAGGGTGGGGCCTCCTGTGCTGTGCACCTCCCACCTGGCCCCAGCGAGTCCTCCTGGCCTGGGCTGTAATGCCCACTTTACAGATGAGAAGACTGAGGTTCCTTTGGTCACGAGGCTGTGCGTGGCGAGACAGGGCTGAGGTCTGGCAGTGTCCAGCCAGTGGTTTCATTAATGTCTGTAGCTGACTTTCCCAAGAGGAATGAAGGGTGGCACAGGGTGGCACAGGGTGGCAGCTCTGCCTGGTCCAGCTCTCCACTCACCTGTGTGATCTCAGGAAACTGGCCTTCCCTCTCTGAGCACTGACTCCTCCCTCCCAGGACAGAGGGCAATGCGGCACAGTAACAGTCATGACCAGGCCAGGGAGATAGCTCAGCAGAATAAGCTCTCGTTTGGCAAGCGCAGGATCCTGAGTTCCATCCTTGGTACTGCAAAAAAAAAAAAAGAAAGAAAAAGTCACATTCCACTCGGCACAGTGGCTGCCCAGGGGCACACTGCTCCTAAATGCCATCTGTTCATTCCCTCTGGGAAGCGAAGACCCAAGCGGTCCCATGTGCTCTCTCCACCCAGCAGTGGCCAGGCCAGATGTGCTGTCTTGAGTTACTGAAGGGAATGGCCACAGGGCCCGTCTCTGTGTGGGGCAGTAGTGAGCTGACTGCAGGTCCGTCCCAGCAGTGGGCTAAGGCGGCTCCTCGGGTCCCCTTCTGTGAGCAGAGACAGTAAAGCTCGGGCTGTAGGGAGCATGGATGGGAGCCAACCCAGGGCCAGCACGGAGGGGAGCCTGTGTCCCTTCTGGATGTCACCAGCCAGGCTTCTTCGCATGGTCCTCGGCCCCTCTGGCATGGGTTTCCTCTTCTGTGAGGCAGGGATGGCCACCTCTCCTCACAGGCTCAGGTCCTGATCCGCGTCTTCCCTGGCTCTGGTGCCGCAGGTCCAGCACCATGACGCCATCACCGGAACCGAGTCCCCCAAGGTGAGCACCATGTACACAGAGCACCTGGCCATGGGGACACTGGGTGTGCGCAAGCTGATGACGGCCATCGCCAGGGACAGTGTGCAGCACGCGGCCCTAGCGTCCGGCTCGGGTAAGCCACCTTCGGGAAGTTGAGGCCCATTCTCAGGAGGGAGCCCAGAGGGCCAGGAGGAGCTGGAGACCTGCGCTTCACACTGCAGGGTCACTGTCCCCATGAGCACCTACCTGAGGGACATCCTTATCGGTGACTCGGGCTCCCAACCTCAGTGTCCGCATTCCTGAAGAGAGGGAGGGTTGAGGTTGCAGTTAGAGCCAGAAGGGGCTATGATCACATCTGGAGCGTTTATTAAGCTCAACATACTCTACATAGCGGATGTAATTTACTGCTTCACTGAAGTCTGCAGGAGCTGGTGTGGCGGCACAGGCCTACCGTCCCCGCACCTGGGAAGCTGAGGCAGGAGCATCACAAGAGCTCTGATCCTTCTCATCTTACAGCGAGGGAACAGCTGAAGGGGCCTTGTGCCAGGGCACATGCTCAGGGCAGAAGGGGCAGAGCACTGTTCGAACCTGTGACCCGATGCTGCCCTGCCTGGGGGAGGGGATGCCAGCGTCCTCAGGCTGTTCCTGGGGCTCCTCCGGAGCTCAGCTGGGGTGCAGATCATCACCGGGCAGCCATAGACCTTCCCTTTTGGGGGTGTCACTTGCGTACTGATGAGCCTACCAGTGTGCTGGGGCTAGGATTCCACAACCCAGAAAATCCTGGGTTAGCAGGGCGAGCTGGTCTCCCTGTGCACCTGCAATCGTCCTGTTCACGAGGTCCCCAGCCCCCTGCCTCAGCCTGCACTTGGTCATTCTGAGCCATTTATTGTTTCATTTTATGGTTCTGGAGATTGAAGCCAGGGCCCTGGCCCTGCATTGCATCCCCAGCCCTGCCCGGGTGAGACTCAAACTCTGAGTCCTCCTGCCTCAGCCTCCCAGAGTGCTAGGATTACAGGCGTGAGCTGCCACCCCTGCTGCCAACGTGCCACTTGATGCCCCCGTGTCTCTGCACGGACCTGGCCATGCCTGGGCTCTAACATCCCAGGCAAGGGAACATTTCTGACCTCAGTTTTCTCGCTGCTAAAGTGGGCAGATGGGAAAGGATGTGTGAGCGTCCAGGGGACACGTGTGTCCCCTTCCCACCTCTGCCCAGACCCGCCCGAGCAGATGGAGTGTGCTGCACGACAGGCGCTGCCCACCTGTCCTCACCTGCTCCCCGGGCTCTCGTGTCTCAGTTTCCCTTAGATGGAGAGGTACCCACAGGCACGGGTGGGTCTGTTCTCTGTGTGTAGGTTCAAGGCCTGAAGGACACCTTGCCTCTGTCTACAACCCGCTGGCCTGGACCATCACCACCATCGTCACCTTGACTGTTGGCTTTCCTGGAGTCAGTGTCACGGACGAATCAGGCCGCCCTGTGCCTGCGCAGGTATGGCCACACACCCTTGCTCGGAAGACCTTGTGGGGCACCAGGGGGTAAGAGGAGGTGCTGGGTGGGGTGGGCCCAGGCAGCCTCTCTGCAGCACCCAAACATCTAGCCGCTGGGTGGTCCACCCCCTCGTTCCCTTGCCTGGGCCAGTTGAGCGGCTCTGGGAGTCACCCAGCTCCCTTAGGCTGATGTCACTCAGTCGCTCAACAAACACTCCTGAACACGCATTCTGGGTTGGCCCTGGGGTGGGTGCTCTGGACAGAAGTGAAGGCACAGATACGGGTCTTGATCGTGTGGAGCAGTGACACAGGAGAAGAGGGGCATCATCCCCCAGTCCTCACTTTGGAAGAGGAGATGTATCTGGCCGAGAGAGACTGAGAAGGGAGTGGACTGAAGCAAACTTAACCCTCAGCACCCATTCCCGCCCTAGCTCGAGCCCAGGAAGAGGAACTCACCCGGCAGAGACTTGCAGAGCTCCCACCCTGTGTCCCGCCATGTCTGGGTGTGAGGAGACCGTACCCCCCCCCCCCAACAGACACAATCCAGCCAGTAGGGACTGTGTCGGCCAACTTCCTGTTGCGGGGACAAGACACCTAGCCTGGCAGCTTGAGGGAGAAGAAGGGTTTTGTTTTGCTGTCATTTTGAGGCAGGATCTCGCTATGCAGCTGGCCTGGAGCTTACTTTGTAGCCCGGACTGGTCACGAACTTGCAATAATCCTCCTGCCTCAGCCTTCTGTGTGCTAGGATCACAGGCGTGTGCCACCATGCCCCACGGGAGGAGAGGCTTAATTAGGCTCGCGGTTTCAGAGGGCTCTGTCCATCCCTGGTGAGCTGGCTCCGAGGCAGACCTCGGCAGCTGTGGTGGGAGAAATTCCTTACTGCAAGTGGCAGGGCTGGGACACATTTTGTTTGTACCAGGAATCAAACTCAGGACCTTGCATTTGCCAGGGAGGCGCTTGTGTCACTGAGCTATATCCCCAGTTTGCACTTCTTAATTAATGAAAAGTACTGGTACATTTTAGGTATATGTGATGATCATACCCATCATAGGGAATTTGTACCTGTACATGATACAACTTGATTTGTTCTCTTTACCACTCCCCTACCCTCCCTTCAACCTCTCTTCCTGTCCTTATTTGCAAAAGCTTTGTTGCATTTTTTTTTTTCTTTTCCTCTCCTCCCTTTCTCCTGCCCCTGCCCAAGTTCCCCTCCCAGGCAGGCGCTTATTCTACTGAGCTATCTCCCCAGCCCTCCCCTCCCTATTTGAACATTTTCCTCTTACTGTAAAATACACTGTGGTCCTCATTTACACTTTCGGTTCCTCTTACCAGAGAAACTGTGTGGGTTCACCCAAGTGTCCCCTGTGTTTCACTCAGGAGCAGACAGTAAAATTCTTGACAATATCTCAGCTGCTCTTATCTGGCTTCCTGGCCTCAAAGGGGAAGGAGAGAGATTGGGCAAGCTTAGGCAAAGACAAGCCCTTTCTGCGGGTCCTTAGGGCTGCAGAGCTAAGCAGATACTGATCAGAGATAAGGGTGGCCGAGGGGGCTGATGGGAGTGGACCGAGGGCCAGGCCCTGTGTGAGTCACCGCCCAACACTGCTGCAGGACTGGGGGGAGGCTGTGCCTGCGGCAGTGTGGCCTTAAAGTCCCTGCAAAGGAACCCAAGTGACAGCATCCTGATGACCACAGGGCAGGGGTCACCACTGCAAGCTAGCAGGACTCTGACAGCCCATCGCTTGACTGCAGCTGCGTGACCTCCACAATCTGTGACTTAACTTCAACAAAGACCAGGAAGCCAGAAAGCCAGAGGACTGTTTTCCCTCGGTGCAGGGTTCTAGGGCCGTGCCCAGTGACTCCTTCCACCCGTCCCAGTCAGAAGCCTCCCTTGGACTGGCAGAGGCCAGGAAGGTCAACACAAAGCAGTCACTCGAGGGGACATGGAGGCTGGGGAAGGGCTGCAGGGAGCTATTAAAGTTGGAGGTTAAGGTCAGATCTGGAGCGGGTGTGGTGTGAGCACTCAGGCGGCTGAGGCAGGAGGATCACCATGCGTTCCTTCCAGGCCAGCCATGGCTCCATACCAAGACCCTGTCTCAAAAAAAAAAAAAAAGAAAATCAGATCTGGAAGTCACCACTTTTGGGAGGTAAAGGAAACTGAAGGAACTGAGGCCTCAACTAGGAGAGGCCCTGGGGACCCACTAGCCCCCCATCTTCAGGACGTGGAAGGAATCCCCAGAGGCGAAGTGTTTTATGGGGGTCCTGGAAGGGAATCCACAACCAGCAAGGGGCTTGGGGGGGAACAGGGTACAGTCAGGAGCCAGAAGGACACCTCTGCCTGGTGCGTGGTGGACACCACATCCTCTGCTGGTGCAAGCCCGGGCTCCTGAGCCAGCACCGGCGCTGAAGTCCAGCTTCCGCTCTGTCCTGCTGGCTTTGCAGATCCAGAACTCAACTAAGGAACCCTCTGCCTATGACCTGCTGATCTTGGTCACAATCCCAGGCCTCAGCTACCGGCACTACAGCGTCAGGCCCACGTCAGAGACCCAGGCAGCCGCCACCGTGGCCAGCACTGTCCGGTTCGGCCGCAGGCTGCGACGCACCAGCCAGGGTGACAGGCGCCTGGTGCCCGTGGCAAACGACTGCTACACGGTACTGCTGGACTCAGACACCAACCTCCTGCATAGTGTCCAGGAGAGGTGAGGTGCAGCCCTTACTGCTCTGAGGCTGGGGCCTCGGGTCACCCGTAGCCTGCCTGCGCAGGGGAAGGCCAGGTGGGAGTGCAGCCCTTCCTGTCTTCAGTTCAAGGGCAGTGAGCCTCGGGCGGTGCACAGAAGGCCGCTCATGCCACGTTGTTCAGAGCTGTAGACCTGTAGACAGGCAGTGTTGAGGGGCTCACCCTGGGGAAATACATCGTCCACTTGCTCGAGCTTAGCAAAATGTGGAAACACGATGTTTTTAGAACAAAAAGGGAATCAGAATCACCTATTTGGACCTTGTCCCCTGTCCATCCATCCATCCACCCCTCCGCTGGTCCCCGCTCTATCCATGCATACATCTGGCCACCCACCACTACCTGTCTACCCACCCATCTGTCCCTCCATGCACTCATCCATCCATCCATCCATCTATCCATCTTCCCACCCATCTATCCATCTTCCCACCCATCTACCTACTTATCCATCCCTCCGTCCACCTGTGACTCTGCCCATCTACCCATCCATTTGTGCATCCACCTACGCATTCATCCACCTACCAACCCACTCACCCACCCACCCACCCACTGACACCTGCCCATCCCTCTGGCCACCTACTCACCTATCCAGGTGCCCACCCATTCACCCCTCCTTCCATCCATCTCCAGTCATCAACCCACCCACTATGCATTCATTTATTGGTAGAGAGCAGTGAGGGCAGGTGACCCAGGGAAAGGCCTCCTGGCTGATGTGAGCCAGCCCTGTCCAGTGAGTTTGCCATCCACCCCAGCTGCCTCTGCAGGACACTGTGTTGTTCCTGAGCAGGGTCCTGGCAGATGGACTATGTGGCAGTACAGAGTGAGGGGTGGGAAGAGCAAGCTAGGAGGCAGGAGGAGGTGGGGAGAGGCCTTTGCACTGGGAGGTGCGGCGTTGGCCAGCATTGCCCAGGACGAGGTTGCTGTCAGCGGACCTCTATCCACAGAGCCCCAGGACCCCTCAGTGGGACCCAGCCAGCCTGTTGTTGTAGTTCCACTGATCCTTCCTGGGACAGGGAGATGGGAGGGGAGATAGCGGACAGCAGGCAGCGGAGAGCACCCCTTGGGGAGCATTTGTGCAGATGGCGTTGTCATTTCCCTTGGTGACACTGGGAGGCCACCACAGCTAGCAGCATGGGCCAGGCATCTCCACTCCCACATGGCTTGTTTCCTGACTTCTCAGTTGCAGCCCTGCGGATGGGGTGAAGTGGTACCTCAGCATGCTTGGGTTTTCAGGCCCCAGGTGACAAATGGAGGCGTGCTCACCGGCCATCAGTACATCTTCCTTGGTGCGATGTGGGTGCAGATCTTTCGCCCATTCTTCGTCTACCACGTTGTGAGAGCTCCGTGTGTGTCCTAGGGCCTCACCCCTGTGAGAATCCCAATGGGCAAATCCTCTCTCCTTCCTGAGTTATCTTTTCCCCCTCTTTGTGACCCTGGGCAGCATTTTGACAGGAATCAGGTCAAAGCTGGTGGATGGAAACCACTCTTGCCTCTCCTTTCCCTCAGGGGCTCTGTCAGCCTCCTCGTGCTTCCACACACAGCCGCAGCCCCCAACAATCCCCCAGGTGGGTTCAGGGTGGTCCAGTTCCCCACAGCAAGGCCAGGCTGGAAACAGGCAGCAGATGTGGATGAGTGTCTTGTCTCCACGCATGCGTGGCTACCTGTGAACCACAGAGCCCGCAGCAGGGGTGCACACCTGCAGTCCCAGCGCAGTATAGGCTGAGGCAGGAGGACTCCCAGTTCCCACACAGCCTGGGCCGCTCAGCAAGACCCTATCTCGAAACAGAAAATAAAATTAAAGGGCTGAGGGTGTGGCTCAGTGTGAAGGCCTTGGGTTCAAATCCCCAGTACCAAAAGAACCCACCACCGTGCATCCAGCAGGTGCTGGGGCACCTGCCTGCTCCTCCTGGAGAGCTGTGCTGCCTCCCGCAGCCTGCAGTGCACTGTGGGACACCCGGCCGGTCCGGGCTCCTCCGGTCCTGTTGCTCGTGTGGCTTTCTTGGGCTCCCCACGGGGCAGCTAGCCCTCACCTCTGGCTCACAGCCACTCCTGGGTGGAGCAGTTGCTGCCCTGGGCCCAGGTCACAGGACTGTGCCATGAGGCCCCACCCAGGACGTCATTGATTCCACCTTCCTCCTCTTTCTTGCCAATGCAGACAAAGCAACCGGACAGTGCGCATGGCCCAGGAGTTCCTGGAATACCATGCCAATGGGGACGTCAGGCGGGGGCCCATCTCTGACAACTACCTCTTTGCGCCCAACGGGACAGCAGTGCCTGCGTGGGAGGCCGTGGGGCTGGAGATCGTGGCAGGAAGGCTGGCGACTGAGATCCGGCAGCGCTTCTACAGGTGCTCCCTGGGGCCCCCTTGGCGCACACCTGCAGTGGCCCCCTGGCTCCCGAGCAGTGTTGGTGGAGAATTTACAGAGGTGGAAGAGAATTGCTCTAGGCTCCACACGAACTTGTGCAGATCCTGCTGGTCATCAGCCAGAAGGGTTCACATTCTTCCACTGATGGCTCAGGCCAGGCACAGCAGCTCTGTGGTCTCGGAGACCTGAGTCCCGCCGTGTTGTTCAGTTCCCAGACTGCACCACTGTCCTCATGGGCCCAAAATGCTGCCTGGCTCCCTGTCCTCCCTCAGGCAGGAAGGAAGGAGAACAGACAGGCCATCATGAGGTTCCTGCAGCTGTGCCTCCCCCAACCTTCTCCTCCAGGGATGCCAAGGCCCGGACTTACATGTATGCCATCCATTCCCGGCTGGCCCACGTGTCCCAGGGCCCCGGCAGCGAGGAGCTGCTGTGTCACCGCATAGAGCAGGAGTACCGAGTGGGACCCCTGGAGCTGAACCGCGAGGCCATCCTGAGGATCAGCAGCAATCTCAACAGCCAGCAGGTCCTCTACTCAGACAACAACGGCTACCAGATGCAGCGGAGGCCCTACCGGCACTATGTGAACGCCACCATCGCACGGGTATGCCCATGTGGCCTGTGCTGCACCCTGGGGTGCTTCTCCTGTTCCCCCTGCTTTCTGTAATACTGGGGACTGGGCCCAGGGCCATCATGCTGGGCTACATCCTCAGCCCTTTCTTCACTTTTAAATTTTGAGAGTCTAAGTTGCCCTGGCTAGGCTCAAACTTGGAATGCTCCTGCCTCAGCCTACCAGAATGCTGGCTTTATAGGTATGAGCCACAAAGCCTGGCTTTTCTTCATCTTTAAAATCAGCTCTTAAACAGCAGAAACCTCACCAGGCGAGGTGGCACGTACCTGTAATCCCAGCACTTGGGAGGCTGAGGTAGGAGGATCACCTTGAATTTGAGAGCAAGCTGGGCTACAAAGTGAGCTGGAGGCCAGTATGAACTGTATAGTGAGATCCTGTGTCACATAGATGATAGGTAGATAGATAGATGATAGATAGGTAGATAGATAGATAGATTGATAGATAGATGATAGATAGATAGACGATAGATAGATTGATAGATAGATGATAGATGATAGATAGATAGATGATAGATGATAGATAGATAGATAGATAGATTGATTGATAGATGATAGATGATAGATTGATAGATGATAGATAGATGATAGATAGATAGATAGATAGATAGATAGATAGATAGATAGATGATAGACACCAGGGAGATAGTTCAGTGGTATAAGCATCTGCCTGCCAAGCAGAAGGTCCTAAGTTTGACCCCCCCGTGGGGGAAAAAAAAGCAAAAAAAAAAATGTAGAGACCTCTTAAAGCCCCTTTTGTCTGTGCAGACTCTGGGTCTGCCTGGCATCTGGATCGTGGTGCTGCCAGGCAAGAATCCTTAATTTGTGCCTCAGTTTCCCCCTGTAAAGGAAGTGCTTTGTCAGAGAGCCATTGTGAGGGCAGATGCAGTGGGGTGGGTCAAATACAGAACTGGAGCTAGGTCCTAGGGCTGGGAAGTGGCGCTGCAGGGAGCGTGAACCCCGCATCAGTCTCAGGGAGTCCGGCGACCCCGCCCACGCACCCTGCCCACAACATCTGAGTCTGCAGAACTACTACCCCATGGTGCAGTCCGCCTTCATCGAGGACCAGGAGGATGACAGCAGGCTGGTGCTGCTGGCGGAACGGGCACACGGCGTCTCCAGCCCAGGCGGCGGGCAGGTGGAGGTGAGTGAGCGGCTCTTCCCCCCGGTCAAGCCCAGGGTGCGGCTCTGCAGCCAGCTTCAGCGCCCACCCCGTCACCCCCGCAGGTCATGCTCCACCGACGCCTGTGGAACAACCTGGCCTGGGACCTGAACTACAACCTCACACTGAATGACACTTCCGTCGTCCACCCCGTGCTCTGGCTGCTGCTGGGGCCGCGGGCGGTCACCTCTGCCCTGCGCCCGCGGAGTGCACTAGCACTGCAGCACAGGCCCGTGGTGCTTCTCCAAGAGCTGTCCGGAGGCAGGGCTGCCACCCAGGGTATGCGGCGCCAGGGCTGCCTGGAATCATGTGCACCCTTGGGATCTGGTCGGGGCAGGACAGGAGGGGCGGGTGCTGAGCTGGCTGGTTCCCCCTGAACCTGTCCACACTGTCACCATGTGCTTCTAATCCAGGGTCTAATCTGACCACCATGCAGTTTCCCAACTTCCTCCTGGTTGGCCTCGCTCCCTGGGGGCCCTTCCAGCTCCTAGTGGCAGCACCACCGGCTGGTGACAAAGCCTCAACACATGCATGTGGGATACAGAAAAGAAACAAGCCAGCAGGGTGGTGTACACCTGGAATCCCAGCCCTCAGGAGACTGAGGCAGGAGAATCCCCTGGGCTGCCTAGTGAGCTCAAGGCCAGTCTGAACTATAAAGTGAGACTCTCAAAAATAAACAAAAAATCCCAACCATAGCACCCAAAGGAGCCAAGCCTCCCTGGGAAGGACTCATATTGGCCTTGCTTGGGGCCGGGGCTCAGGGCCTGGAGTCAGTGGCCGGAGCCTGTGAGCCACAGCAGATCCTGCTGGCAGTGTGACTGGAAGGAGCGGGACTGAGCAGCCGGGAGTGAGGAGCTGGTATCCCGGGCTGGCGCCCTGTGGAGCCCTGCAGCTCCTGTGCTTGCTTGGTGACCTCAGCAGGGCCGGCAGGGAGCAGCTCTGAGGGACAAGGACCTGCCCCGCAAGGGCTGGCAATGGGTCTCCCAGCTGGCGTAGCAGGAGGGGCTAGCAGGGCACAGCTTGGAGTGCTGCGTGCAGGAGGCGCCCTCTGAGCCTCTGGCTCTGTCCCCTGCCCTGCAGGACATGCCCCAAGGCCCCCAGTGTCCCAGCAACAAGCTGCCGTGCTGCTGCCCCCAAGCCTGCACCTTCAGCTCCTGAGTATTCCTGGCCGGAACTACAGCACAAGCCACAGTGAACACATGCGGGCTCTGCGGACAGGTGAGGCCTGTCGCATGTACCGACCCCCACAGCCACCTGGCCACCTATCCCCAACCCGTTGGCAGATGACCCAGCACACTTTAGCACTCATGGCTCTGTGAGGCCACCCTATCCACTCACCAGGACACCAACGAGACCAGGTGGGCGGGGCTAGGATGAGTGGTCTCACCACTGGGCAAGGTACGCCCTGACTGGGCTGACTGGTCCACATCCTGCCAAGCCCTGGGGGCTGAACTGGGATCATGGGGCGGGGACCCTCCGCCTGGGCTGCACAGGGAGGTGACCGCCCCCAACCCTGGCTTCTTGCTTGTCCGGTAGGGCCGTGTCCCCTGCCTCTTGGGCACATTGAGAATATGGGTGGAGTCGAGTGCCAGGCACAAACTGGAGGCCCTGAGGTTGTTCAAACGGGGTCCTCACTGTCGCCTTCTGTTCCCAAAGGCCACCGAGGCCAGGCCCAAGCAGACGTACGCCGGGTCCTGCTACGGCTGCACCACCTGCATGAGGTGGGGGAGGATCCGGTGCTGTCTCAGCCAGTGACTGTGCATCTGGAGGTGAGCTGTTCCCTTGCCTGCCCCACCTCAGACACCAGCACACCAGGTGCCTGGGTGGTGAACCCCAAGTCTGAGACCCTGTCTGGGGGGTCTCTGGGCCAGAACACCCCTCCTGGGTCACTCACCAGTACTTCCTCTGAAGCTGGGACACAGTCGGGCCCAGGCCACCGCTGCTCCTCTGGCTCCCGAAGTCTGAGGAGCCCGCCGCCCCTTCCTGTCCTTGCAGGCTGCACTGCGGGGGCTGGGGGCTGTGGCAGCCGTGGAGGAGCGCTCGCTCACGGGCACCTGGGACGCACACACCATGCAGCGCTGGAGCTGGAGGACAAACCCTGGCCACCAGACAGGTCTGGGACCCTGCCCTCGCACCACAGCTCTCCCAGCCAGCCCAGAGCTGAGCAGACCTACTCAGTGCAGCCACGCCCCTGTGGCCGGGTGGCTGCCTCCTGAACCCACTGGAGTAGCTTGGGAGGCAGGCGTGGTGGAAGACACCTGTCATCCTGGCACTCCAGGGGGCTGGAGCAGGAGGGTCACACATTCCAGTCCAACCTGGGCAATGTAGCAACTTAGACTCTGGCAAAAGATTTAAAAGGGTGGGGGATGTAGCTCAGTGTAAAAGCCTTGGGTTTGATCCCACTATTGCAAAAAGAGAATGAAAGAGAGGAGAAAAGGAAAGAAAGGCTCTGGTCAGGGCTTCACAAAGTCACACGAGTGTGTGTGTGTGTGTGGTGTGCACTTGCAATAGGTGCACACACAGGTGTATGCAGGCTGCATGTCCAGGACAAGAGCCAAAAACAGATCCGCACACACTCATTACTCCTACCAACTGAGGTAGCCTTGCTCAGACCAGTCTCTGCTGGGCGGCCCTGCCCCTTTGAAGGCCTGAGTCCCTTGGGTCTGGCCAAGTCCCAGGGCAGAAGCCTCCTCCATGCTTTCCTGTCCCTGGGGGTTCCCTGTCCCTGTCCTTTTTGTCTGTTGCTCACTACTTGGGGCTGGGTACAGAGTGGTGGATGGATGGATAGAAGGATAGGTGGGAGGATGGATAGGTGGGTGGGGCCACAGGAGGACGGATGGATGGATGGATGGATGGATGGA